GAAAATAACAACGATGCCGCCGTGGAAAATGGGATAGAGCATCCGATCGGCGGCCCACTTTAAAGTTCGCATCCCGCGGCAAATTTGCATCCCATTGAATCGCCGTTTCGACTTCGAGGCGGCCGAGCGCCGGCCGTTTCGCCGCTTAACAAATCGCGACTCGCGAAAATGTCAGCGACTCGGCTCGAGTAGGTTGTTTGCCCTTGTAACGCCGGATACTTTCGACTTTGGTGAGAACGGCGTGTATCAACCGGTTTCTGTAAAAGGATCTCGCTTGCGCTCGCGCTACGTGTGTATTTCCCTGATTATTGCGACGTAAGACTTTCAGCAGCGAATCCGCGCTCGTCTCGGGGATATTTCCCTCTCTCTCTCTCTATCGCGTGACTTGCTTTTGGAGAATCTTTTTTTTCTTTTCATCGAACTGCAAATTGCACTCATCGCTCCCGGGCGACTGTCCGTACAATTTACGCACTTCCGAATCATTTCCTTTAAGGACTATCCGAAAGGGTTGTCGGCTATTAAAATTTACGAGTCCCGAATTGAGACCACTTTTCCTGTTAGATCGCTTCGCTCGTTTCTAATTGACGGTACATTCGCCCCTTAATTCGCTCATAAAGGAAATTACCGATTCCTCTCTTCGAATGATCTGAAGTTATCGATTATTCAGCTCCGATTTCGATTCCTCGCGAAGCCGAATACGAAAGAAATTTCCCCAAAAATTTCGAAATTTGCGAAAAGTTGGGATCTTTGATAATATCGTTATAATTTTTCAGAAACTTTCTCGAGTACGCGAGTTTTATACAAATCTATTTGCCGCGGCGGTACCCGCTTCTTTTCACGCTGCGCTCCAGAAATAATAAATATCTGGAAACTTGGTGTGAAACGCTTGGTCGATCTGGATCCTGTCCTGATAATGGAAAGGCGGTAAAGTCGATCGCGGGACTCTCGATATCGTGACAACAGTAACCTGAGCACGCGAGGATTCTCCAGGAGGGGGGCGAAGGGGAAGAAGACGCACGCGGTGAAAGTGTTGTGTAGAGACGAGGAGGCGGCAGGAGCTGTAGGAGAAAGGAATAATTATGGTTTATGACACGGAGTGTCGTAACGGGAAGGATTCCTGGCAGCCGTGACGCTTCTTTCGCGTCCTTCGTCGTCCCGTTTAGTTCCACACAGTTGTAAATCGTCGCGGCGCCTAGGAAAATGCTTCGCCTTAAACACTCGTCGTGCATTCAATTTTTGACGAAACGTGACTTTCCTCGGTTCCTCCCTGTAAATATAGAGCCCATCCGCGAATACGCGGCCATCATTTAGCTTCTTCACTGGAAATGTCCAAGGATGCCATAAATTTCCTTTATTTATAGCACTTTTCTCATTTTTCGCACCGCGCCTGTTTTTAACTAAATATCTTTTGTTGAATTTCTGTCGACGTAATGCCTGCGTGAAGCTGAGAAATGTTAAAAAAAATTTCCGGATGTTTAACTTTATAAAAGCCATTTTTGAATAACAAAAACAAAAGTATAGATATCGACATTTTTGTGGAAGAAAAATGAATTTCTATTGAGTTCGGAGTTTATTATAAAAAGTATGATCTTATTGTTCGAGAATTTAGTTTTGGAAAAATATCAATTTACTTACATTTGTTGCTTCGTGGAAATTAAGATGTTTCGGGATTTTCGGAGAAACCGAGTGAATTTTGTCTTTTGTCTGTATTTAAAATGGGAACTTTAATATCGATAAAATCGATTATTTATATATGTAGGCCAGCTACTAGCTTTTAACTAATACACTTGAAACGTGGTTGCTAATTGCGTTGGTTTATACGGAGATTATCACACCGTTTCTTGTTTACGCACTTTTTTTTATCGTGGACATTAAGATAAACAAGTACTCTCGTACTCGGCGTTTTATCAGGTTTTACAAGAACGATTAAATTCGTTCGGCCTGCCGGGAAATACTGTAATTCGCGAGGATGGAAATAGCGATTAATCCGCATTAATCCCAGAACGCGAATGTTTCTTTGAGAGATAATATTTTCTCTCTTTCTCTTAGTCTTTTTCTTCATTACTGGAACTTTAAATAACTAAATCTTTTCCTTCTCTGGATAATTTTGACGAAACATTAAATCCTATTTCTTTACATTTTTTTCTATTTTGATCTAGTTTAATGAAGTCTCGTGTGTGT